CATCCCACCACAACTCCACATACAGTCCCTTCACAAGCCCCGAACGACAGGCATCATGCTCCCTAACGCGCCTTCAGAATTCCCCCTGAACCCTACCGACTACCCGCCACAGAGGCTACCATCTCACCAGCCCCATGTCAGCCCACGGATGCCTCTCCTAACCCCCATCGTCATGGCCATCAACCTACTCGCCACTCCTCGATAAAATCCACTGAATCACCCACAAAGGCACAACTGAACCACCTACACCGCAGCCCACTAACCCACCAACACCACAGCCCACCAACCCACCATCACCACAGCCACACCACAGCCAACACCACTGCCCACTTGGTCCAATAGTGTTTCAGGATGCTCAACTGGTCACTTTTCAGGATACTGTTGCCGCAAGTACTACCATCCAAGCAGCTACACTTGGGTCAGTCCTGGAAGTTGGAATGCCTACAGCTCCATTTCTGCTTGTTACAATGCTTGTGTCTCTCAATTTGGCACAGTCCAGTGTGGTGTCTTTTCATGGTGGGCTGCCACAGAAACAGTTTCATCAACTCCGACCACAGGTTGTTTTGTACAAAGCGCTGGAAATTCAGGTCTCACGTATTATTCATCTACAGGTCATAGTGCAAATCCACTCTATACTTGTAAGAAATATTAGCCTCAAGCTTTATTATTTTATTTAAGCCAGCGGAGCTGTGTAACCTCGGCAGAAGGTTTCAGTGTAGAAGCAGATACCCCTATCGTTTAGTCTTGGCTGACCCGTGAATGCACTGCCGGGGAGTAAATCTAGCTTTGCAGACTCAATATCTCTTAACACAGGCCCAACTGCACCGCGCCCTCTTTTTCCCTCTGAAAGCTTGTCGGGTTGGGTATACGGACGTCTATTGATAGCTATATCTCTGTTAATGAAGATAGGTATTGCGCTAGATCTATCTATGTGTGTGGCCGACTGCCTGGCAGTGGATCTGCGCGCGTAGAAATCCGGTACTTCGCTACAGAGATCGAATCTTCCGGATCGATTCCAACCACTCACAATGACGAAAAATTTCTTTTCGATACTTCCGCACCATGGCATCCTACCTTTCCTCTTCGGACGAAGATGACGAGGAGTCTGTTCCGCTTCCTCCTCTTAGAGGCAATGATCCACCCGCCGTTGTGGGTGGCGCCCCATCCCCTTGGTCTCACGCATCTGATTTAAGCAGTTCGACAACAAGAAGCGGCCAAAATCGTGGAGCAGGTCTCCAAGCTTTGGCCAACGCCGCATCAAGGACACCACTTCGAGATGTCAGCAACATCAACAATAACTGGAGGGCCTCTCGTCAACAGGCTTGCACACCAATAACACCCACAACACCAAGGACAATGGATGAAGATGATGGGAGGGAAGAGACTTCACCAGAAGACTGCGAGGCAGAGTTTGACAACCAGTGCCGTGACAGGATACCCAACTGCGACTCTGATGATGAAGGAGAGCTTGCGAATCAAGTCATGATGGATCTAGATCCACAAGAACCAGATAATTCATTCATGGAGGAAGAACTAGCTGCAATTGCCTCTTCCATTGAACTCACCAAGTCAACGGATCCAATTGGAAAACGCAACATCAGTTTATCTGGTGCACCGACTACATGGAAGCCACCTGGAGCCCCTCCTAATTGGAAAGCTGCGGGCAAGCAAGTGAACACGGAACCGGCATTTGAAGATGTCGACAATCCAGGCAACTGGAGCGACTTCACCTTTCGTCCAAAGTACCTGACAACTGGTGCCGGACGCAACAGGAAGAAGAAATATCTGTATCGCGCAATGCCAACTGGTGCAACTCCAGTCCCAGCTGACGATGATGACCGAATGATATTAGATGATTGGGAATTCCACTATGATGGTTGGAAGAAGGATACCCCCACCTTCCGGTCTGGTGCAACAAGAGAGAACATGTTCCCTGACAGCAGAAAGGGGCAACGGATGGCGAGATCCTTTCTCGACTTGGTCTTACGAAAGACCGCATGAAGCAAGAGGATGGCGCTCCTGATGCATTGTTCTTTTACCAGCTTATTCTACCTATTTGCGATACCTCTCGGAACGATAATGATCCGCGAATGCCTTTCTACAAAGATGTCGCTGTCCACAGCAATGGGTATGCCATGTCCGAGTTGGAGCTTGGCAACGGATACTCTCACAACTTCCATTCAGTGTCCATTCAAGAGTTTCTTCGATGGAATGGATCTATTATCCAGGATGGCGTCCTTGGTGGAAGTGATGGAGCAATTCTGCGGCGTTTTGACATGAGAGAAGGCAATGCACAGTTCTGCAAACTCATCAACAGCGCCATGGAGAAGATAAGATGGTTGCTTATCAAGCGAATTTTTAAACTGTGCAACAACAACTACAAAGCGTTGAAGCCAGTCCAGCGTGGATATGATCCTTGCTACAAGTACGATCTTATCTACCAGTGCCTCTGGCACAACGTGAACGCGCTAACAAAGAAGGCCTGTTTAGATCTCTGCGGCGATGAGACATCGTGGGGGCATCAAGGATATGGAGAGTCTGGAACCGGTGTTGTTGGTGAAGTGCTTGGGAAACCTGGAATATCTCGCGGCAGACAAACTGTCATCGTAGTGGATGTCGATCGTATCAGACCAAGAGCGTATGTTCATCGACACAAGATACATGAGTACGCCTTTTCACAGAAGGGTCCAAGTGAAGTCCGGATGATTTACGAGAAGTTGAGGCCGTTCATTGAAGTGGATGAAAACGTGGAACAAGAAAATCGAAAGCCAATCCTGTTCTCATCAAAACCTCATTTCAGTTGGGATAACTTCTTCAGCGGGGATGCAATCATGGATTATGCTGCCAAGGGAGGCTTCGGAATCACCATGACATGCCAGAGAGACTGACTGCCAAGAGGAGTTCCATCGAAGTACTGGTGTAAGGAGAAGACTGATGGCAGTGCAAGGCCTTGCGCAGCTCGATACGAGAAGCCCATCTTCGCTGTGAAAGAAGATGGTGACTCGCTGCTCCAAATGACGTCCTTCCAGTCAACTTCATTGTGTAACTTTGCTTGTGTCAACGCTGTTAACTCATTGAATCTCTATGTAACACAGAAAGAGCGAGGACACGACAAGAACGAGTACCGGTGGTTCATCGAAATGAACGAGGCAAGGCAGCTCTATTTAAAGACCTACGGTGGTGTCGACAAACTTGATCACCTCATTCAAAATTGCAACATGGGATACCGGTAAGTGCTTGTTCTTATTGTCTATTATCTTGCTTCCACGCTGACTATTTATTCTTTTCTTTACAGCTCATGGAAGTATTGGCACTCTCCAATGAACCATGCAAAGGCCATGGCGGTTGTGGTGGCTTATGACATCTATTTAGAGGCGACAGAAGGAAAACTGGACGGATTGTCAGACTGTAAAATCAACAAGCCCATCTCCTTCTATCGATTTTGCGAGAAGCTGGCAAAACAGATGCTCCAATATGCTCCGCGAAACTGCCATTATCTTGGGGATGAGTTGATGCGCGACACAACTGCGATCAGCAAAGCGAAAAGACCGCGCTCACAGACTCCTCCTCGCCGTGCGCAGGTGCACCAAGATGACCTCACAACGGCATCAGGTGTCAGCGTCGCAACGCTAACCGACAATAATCATTCAGATCGCTTGTGTGGATTTATCACTCCTCTCCTCCAACACTATGAGTCCTGTGTGACAATGCCAAACAAGAAGTGGCTCATCTGCGTCTTTTGTGGCAAAGGCTCCTATCAGTTCTGTAACATGTGCAACAAGCCATTGCACAAGTACCCACAGCCTGATAATGGAAATGGCAAATTGTCATGTTTCCTCCACTACCACAACACTGCATCCATGGGACTTGCTCGAGAGGATTGGCGTGTCACTGGGAAAAAGCAGAAGGATTGGAAATATCCGTCACCAACTGATTTTCAAGACAATGAGGTTGGTATGCGGCGTTTGTTGGAGGAGATGGGTAGCTAGTGGCGGCATGGGCATGAGCAACGGTCGAGTTAACAGCGAAAATAGTGGTGGTAGCCTTAACAACAGACAAGGTGTCGGTGCCCAACAGAATAACAGCAACATAACAACGGCGAAGATTCAAATACAACTCCCTGAGAGTGTGTTCGCATCCAGATTGGTACTGCCGGAGAGTAGCTACTACTAAGCAGTCGATAACACTGTTGCCATCTTGAGTAGCTTTCGGTAGTTATTTTTATGTAGACGACACAGTGGAAAGAGAACTGGCCACTGCTGGGTAGTCGATTTTTTCAGCCAAGACTAAACGGTAGCTAGCTAACTAGAAGCAGATATCTGTAGTGCTTAGCTAGTGCTTAACTTTTGCTTAGCTAGCTAGAAGCTAATTCCCCCTAGCTAGAAGCAGATTCCCATAGCAAGGTAGAAGCAGACACCCCTAGCTAGCTTGAATACTAGTTATAGCTTTCGCCCCCTACTCGGAAGGATGTAAATAGCTTTAGCTGGTTTGCACCATCCTCTAGCTAGGATACTTATTTAGTTTTTGCTGACTTATTTGTATTCTAACCCTACCCTTATACCTGTAGGGACCACCGTAGCAGGAAAAACAATTAAAGGGGTTGAGGGCTCTGGCAGCAAGACTGCCGAGGTAAAACCCTATCAGCACTGTTTCCTTGCCCTCAAGCAGGTAGCTAGCTAGCTAGCTATGCATAGCTACCGCTCCTGCATGTATTAGCTAGCTGAGTGGCTGGCTCTCTTTCCCTGGTCAGAGCAAGAATCCGTGGACCGCAGGCTCTACCAGTACGGTACTAGATAGGTTCCTGGCGTCTCTGCTAACCTTGCTCTGTCGGCACTGGCATCCAGTAATAGACAAATAGATACTAAGTAGAAACATTAAGGAGCGAGGGGGGCTAAGCTAGCTAGGCTGAGCGGTGGCTGCGGTGCGGTGGTGGGTGGTACTGGGAGAGCAAAGTGGACTGGATAGAGCAGAATAGGGGGACTGGGGCAAGGGGGGCAATGAGGAAATGGAGGATCTACTGGTACCGTACACTGTAACGGTACTGTAGAGGGGAAGTCGCGAGGGGGGAAGCGGATAAGCCGAAGTGTGCCACAGTTGGTACGGTAGCTTCAAGTTGGATGTCAAGTTGGATGTCACTGACATCAGTCCTTTGACGCTGACCACAAAACGCTCGGATCTCAAGAGTCGAGTCCATGCCGATTACTCTCCATGCATAAGAACTGCGAAGGCATAAGAGAGCCAGTTATTATTAGTCCACAACCATATGAAAATAGAAAATGAGACCATCCTCTCTGTATATAACGCTGCTGGTGGTCCTTTCAGTTCTGGAGCTGGTGTACGGATTTGTGGTGGTGGTCCCTCCTCCATCAGCAGTAGCATCTCCCCGCCAACAATCATGGACGTTGCTGTTTGCCAGTGGTAAAAAGACGAAAAAGGGAGGCATGGCAGAAAAACGCAAACGTCGTTCCCAAGCTCGCCAACAACGACAACAAGCCTTGATGGAAGCGAATGCGCAACTTCCCGCTTCCAAATTGGATTTCAAGACTCCACCACCTCCACCCACCCCCACGGCTCCGGGTGGATCTGCGACCGTGGAAGAGCTGGAACAAGAAGCCACCAACAGCAAGGCGCGAGAATTGGTCGAGACGCAACGAGAATCCGTCAATATGTTGACGCATGTGACGGAACAATTGGAAGCCAGTAGTAGTCGTCTGGAGGAGCTGTCGTCGCAAGAAGAAGGATATGTGGTGATTGACAATTTACTCGATGAGACTGTGGTGCAACAATTGCAAGACGAATCGATGGCACTTTACGAACAAAATGAAATGACAGCCGATGTCAGCCAATTGGGTACGGGAGAATTCATTACGGCGATTCAAGGAGGGGCCGAACAGTATCCCAAATGTCCACGCACTATTGAATGGGTCGTGGCGGTCACGGGAAAACTGGCGGCACTCTGCAATAGTCAATTGCAAGATGCTGTAGAACTGGAGGATCGAGCCTGCAGTCGTGCCGTGGCACGCCTCTTTGATCGATCCTCGCTCCAGGCATCCTTGCATTTGCTCATGGGACAAGACAGTCCCGAGGCGGTGCAACATGCCATTCAAAACTTGAAACCGGCATCATTGCAAACCGTTATTGAACGAGATCAAGAAGACGACGAGGAGGAGGAGGATTTCCGAAAAATATCCGTCTGCTACTTTTTGACGGATCCAACCTGGAACGAAGATTGTGGAGGTCACTTGACATTTGCCACAGGTAGTACAACGGAAGGTGCAACAACAACAACCACTATTATTGAGGCGCTTCGAAATCGACTCGTCATTTGGAGATCCGACACCACGAGGGTACGACGAGAGCCATTTCGGGGCAGTGAGATTCTCACCACAGCCAGTACCATAGAACTGCATCTTGTACAAAAGCAGCAGGGGTAGGTTATTCTGGCAAGAAGTAACCAAGGCAACTTCAGCTAGTAGTGGTTGCTCCACCGTCGGCAATCAGCAACTCTTGCGCTTTGCCGATGCGAAGTGCTTCGTCTGATGGAATGGTGACAATACTATTGTTTTCTTCTCGGCATTACTTAGTTATTCTCTCGCTCGTATGCCAAACTTCTAGGGTCTAGGAGGAAGCACTCATCGTTCTGTTTCCCCCTTCTGTTTTGGTCCATGCCCGACAGTCGAGCCGATGAGTGTTGTCGCTGCCCCCCAAAAGCCAAAGCAATTCAAGCCAGCTCAGGCCTCGTCTACAATGCATCAGCCAAGATCTTTTAGTTAGACGGACCTTTTAAGGGTCCGAACGCTTCTTCTTTCGGCCCTGATACGCCACTTTGACGCTGTCATTATTGACCGCATATTCACCCGTATTGAATGTGATACCATCATCTTCGCTAGTACTGTGACAGGCAGTGGATACTTTGGAGCTGAACTTGGATGCCGCGAAAAAGTCGTCGTCGATGGTATCGTCGTCAGGGTCGTTCAGACCCACAGCGTCGGAGCTAGTGGTACTTCGGGGGTAGACACGGCCACCCCGGGTCGTCAATATGGTTTTCTTGGAAGGTGTAGACTCGTCCGCTTTGAACGTCAAGGGTGGTTCCGACGTCGAAACGGAATGGGAAGGTTCCATCGTGTTGTTCGTGGAAGAAGTGGTCTTGTTGCTCCGGTTCATACTCGGGGATGCCCTGGATTGTGCCAAGGCAATTCGCGACCGCACAAGCGGGGGCTGCTTCGCCACCTGTTGCTGCCTTTTTTGGGCTTCGTCCTCCTCATGCATTTCCTGGAGGATTGACATGGCTGTTTGCTGAACCAAACAACACTTTGTGGCATTTCGCATGTCGCGAGGCGAAGTTTTAGTGGTGGAATTGTCTCTACCACTCGATGAAGTCTCGACGATGGAGGCATAGTCCATTTCCACAGTCTCAAACTGCTCCAAGCTGGCACGAGAATCCCAACTAAGAGAAGTGGAAATGTAGTCCGAGGATGGGAGCCCGCCGGATGTTGTGGATGTTGGATCTGGCACGCGAGCATCCGTCGAGGAAGGATTGCCGTTAGCATTGTCGTATTCTTCAATGGTCGTTGTGATTGTGGTTGTCCCATCTGAGTGATGGGTTTCTCTTGTAGTCTTTCGCAATCCTTCCAGTTCTTCGACAATCACATTCGTCACCTCGACACTTTCCTCCTTGG